AATTACTGCTTTAACCACCAAGAACACAGGGTCCAAGCTAAGCTCAAAGGTTAATAATAAAAGACAGATGGATCGCGCGCCACAAACAAAACTAATAGGATTTGAGTTGCGGGAAATCTCATTTCACCATTAAGGCAAAATAAAAGGCCAGTGGAACAATGGGTAAAAGCCTGTTTCAAGGCTCTGCCTCTGCCTGTGTGGCGCTGGCCCTGGAAGGAACTGGCTCCTGCAGGCCTTCCATCAATCCTATGGCCTGTGCTTGGTCCCAGGCATCCAGACGCTGCTGTGCTGGAGGGGAAGGACCATGAAAATGCCAAGTAGAAGGGAGAAGACTGTGCCGGGAGGGGCAGTAGGGACTGGCTGCTGTGACGTCTTTCTATGACTGGCTCAGGAGTGGCTCAGTGTGAACCGGTGTTATCCCACCCATGCTCCCCGGCCATTCAGCTAGACAAGAACTCTTCATTCCCACTTGATATGTAATGAAACTATAGCGCAGAGAGGTGGAAAACCCCAAGGGCTGGAAAGATAGCGTAGTGGGTAAAGTCACATGTTGCCAAGCCTGACAACCTGAGTTCAGTTCCAAGGCTCACATGAACAGGGCCTATTCCTGTGAATTGTCCTCTGACTTAGGCACACTGTGGTGCCATGTGTGATGCACACTTGAGTGTGTACATACACACATGCATGGGTGCGCGCGCGCGCGTGCGCACACACACACACACACACACAAATAAATGCAATTAAAATTGCTTAAAATTTCACCCACGTTGCCCAGCACTGGAATGTGAGGTGTATATCACACTATAAATCTTAATTGTTATCCTTTATTCCACTAGTTTGGGAATTTGGCAGGGAACATTTACTGATCTCCTGTTGCATGCAAGGATTATTCTATGAAGTAGTATGTGTGAAACATGTCACAGTCAGAAGCTCCCTCGTGTCCCTTTGCTAACAGATCTGCGCGGAGCCTGGAAATATTTATTTACCACAGGCACGGCACACTGCGCACAAGGCAGTGATCTTGTTAACAGATTAGAATCAGGTGACAGTGTCGACTTGCTGGAAGTCACTCGACAGGCCGGTGGCCAGGGAGGCACACATAGAACCATGTCTGTTTTGTTAGACTGCTCCATTCCACACCTCCAGGGGGAGATCCCAGGGTGGAGCATGGCCTCTTGGTGGAATTGATCCTCTGGCCAGCAGGGGCAAGGCACACTGTGCCTCTTGCTTTATGAATGTCGTGTTTGCTAGCTCAGGGTGGCAGCTTGGTGCCTTGGCAGCCAGCGAGGCACCCTGGGATGGGAAATCAGGCAGCCGCCCAGATATTAGAAACAATTACTGCTAATTACCAGGCCTGCCAATTCCCCATTGTCTGCTTGCACTCCACCAGGAAATCAAGGAGCAGGCGATGAGGATGTTGGAGGAAACTTTCAATTTTGGCTTGCAGAATGCCTGGTGTCACCTGGGGGATGGGCTCCTTCCTGCCTCAAACCTACAAGGCCTGGCTACCTTTCCACCTCTCTCTGTTTTAGAGCCCACATCCTCCTTACAGAATAGATCTTGGATCCTCCAGAATGCTGGGAAGGTAGGGCAGAGGGACCCAGAGCCATAGAGTGAAGCCCGCATCTTGGCTGTGAGTCTGGTGTCGCTCTCAGTGAAAGTAACTAAGGGTCTTTGGCTTTAGAAGAGTGATGAGTACACACTTTAATCTCCAAACATTTAAGTGAGTGTTTATTCTGTACTTGCTGCTGAACGAATATAATATAGCCATGGGTTCTACCTGCGTGACTCCTGTGCCAGGCAGCCCCCTTTCTGAAGCTAACTCAAAGACTCTGGTGGAATAGGAAGCCCCCCCCCATAAATCAACACTGGGAGCAAGAAGAAATCTGATAGGAAGGGGGTGTTCATATAGCGCAGAGGTCATGCCTATGGGCCCCCCTCCCCCAGCAGGCAGCCAAAGTTTGAGGAGGCTGTGGAAGGTGTGTGATCAAGTTATCCATTATCCCAGCTGCAGGCCACTCCCAGCTGTCATCAGTTGGATGTTGTTTCTGGGGTGAGGGGGAAGAAGTTAACCCTTAGGGGCTTCCTTCTGCCCTGCCTATAAGCAGAAGCAAGCATTGTTGCAGCCAGATGAGGGGCCCGCAGACTGTGAGCCCCAGGTGAAAAATGGCAACTGAGAGTGCAGAGGTGCATGCTGGGAGGACAGGGTGAGCCAGACACTATCTGCCTGGCTTGAGTAGTTACTGCTCTCTCCAGCTGATCTGTAAGATGGGTCCACCAATAGTATGGACCAAGGAACTTCAAGGCCCAAACAAATTAAAATGCCCTTAGACCTCTGGTGGCCCACAGTAAGGATTGTTCATTTGCTGTTACAAATCACTGAGTCAAGGTCCCATTTTTCTGGTTTGTTGAAGCTTAATCTCAGGTGGTTCAAGATTGTCCAGAAGGTTATATCTATGTCCTGTACATAGAGAGAGTACATGTGGAGTGAATCCATGTTAACTCCAAAACAGGCCCAGGAGTGACAGCCAAAATATGTCTGCCCTTGGTATCCATGAGTTGCTTTTGTGGACTGAATCAGCTTTAACTCAAAGATATTCGGGCACGGGCGGGGGAGGGGCATTCCAGAAGGTTTCAAAAGCAAAATTTGGACTTACCACATGCCTATCACTGTAATGAAAGCACATCAAGGGATGGCGCACAGATGGACATTGCTCCAGCACCTTCCATTTCTCGTGCCCTCCATCCCTGTGGTCCCACTAAATGAGCATCGTTTGCCCTGTTCATGTTGTCTGTTAGGTAGATCAGCAGTGGTCATGTCTGTACTGCACATGTATGAAGCTACCACGTCATTTTCCCTAAACAACACAGCATAACAACTGCTTACATTATCGTGTACAGTGGCATTGTGGGAAGTGTCTTATGTAATCTGCCCACGATTTAAAGTGCATAGCGGGGTTGGGGGGACTGGGGGGCTGAAGAGATGATGGCTCGGATGTTAAGAGCACTGACTGCTCTTTCAGAGGACCTGGATTTAATTCCCAGCTGACACACATGGCACCTCACCATTATCTGTAATTGCAACTCCAGGATTCCAACACACCTTCACACAGGTACCTAGGCAGGCAAAAACAGCAACATACATACAATGAAATTAAATTTTTAAAAAATCTTTTAAAAAAATAAGTGCGTGAGGGGACATGTAAGGGTCTATGCAAACTCTATCAGTACATCCATCTTCTAGGAAAGACTTGAGCATCTGTGGATTTGGGTGTCTCTAGGGTTTCTGGAACTGGACTCAATCTATCATGGGTACCAAGGGACAACTGGCTTAATAAGATGGAGAACGCTGAACACATTGTTTAGTTTTCGGCAAGCATCCCACATGCTCCATTGTTCTCTTTCTTTCCATAACATTTGTCACCTTCTTTAATGGTATATAATTGATGTTCTTTTTGGGTATATTTATTTATACTTACCTGTTTTCATGTTTCTTCTGGACAAGTATATGTGTACCATGTGTGCGTCTGGTGCCCTCAGAGGTCAGAAGAGGGCATCAGGCCCCCAGGATCTAGAGTGACAGACAGTTGTGAGCCAGTATGGTGCCGGGAATGGAACCCGAGTCCTGGAAAGAGTTACCAATGCCTTTAACCACTGAGCCATCTCTCCACTCACTGACAGTATGTCTTATTATGTGCCTGTGAGGACAGAAATCACTGTCTGTCTTGTTCCTTGATGTGGTCTATGTTCAGAACAGTGCCAGGGATGTTCTAAAACATACCACACACACACACACACACACACACACACACACACCACACACACACACCACACACACAGACCACACACACACACACCACACACACATACCACACACACACACACACACACACCACACACACACACACAGACCACACACACACACACACACCACACACACACAGACCACACACACACCACACACACACAGACCACACACACACACACCACACACACACACACACACACACACACACACCACACACACTCACACACACACCACACACACACTCACACACACACAGAGTGAATGAATGTATCGTAAAGACTCTGGCTGGAATGCGTGTATCCTTGCAGGATTATCGGTGCTGGGTAGTGTTAGTAGCTTCGACTGTTATCACTGTGCTGCTGGGACCATGGAGGAAGGAATAATAGTAACTGTTACTGACTTATTATTCAAAAACCCTTCATTCCCAGGCTCTCTATACCAGTCACACCAGTTCCATGTCAAAGGCCCAAGTCTGATGGAAAAGGGAGTTTCAACTCATCAGTTCACAAAAGCTTCTGTATCAGATTTTCATTGCCTGAACTGAGCCATGTCCGTCTGTCCTGGAGAAAAGGAGTGCCCTGAGGGCTGCTCCTCCCTGTTACAATCACATGCCTTGCAGATGTGGGGTCCCTAAAGGAAACTGGAGGTTCTACTACCACAAAAGTGAAAGTGGATATCAGGAAGCCGAACAGCAGCAGCATCTGTCGGGGCCCAAGGCTGGTGTGCAGGGCACTGATCGTCTGGCCTCTCTTGAGTGAGCCTCACATTAAACTGCTGATTCTGATCTAGCAGCTGGGCAGAGGCATCACATATGATCTAGCAGCTCCAGATGTAGGTGAGGCTGCTGATCTCTGGACCACACTTGAAATATCAAGGCATTAAGCTTTTTGTCTCCCATGACCCCTACAGCCTCCCTAGCCAGTTAAATCAGCATCGTGGTGGGTGTAGATGAAGATCACCATGGAGCTGGGTGATGGTGGCTCACACCTTTAATCCCAGCACTCAGAAGGCAGAGGCAGGCAGATCTCTGAGTTTGAGGCCAGCCTGCTCTACAGAGTGAGTTCCAGGTTTGCCAGGGCTACACAGAAAAACCCTGTCTCATCAAACAAACAAAGAAACAAAAACCACCATGGGATGAGGAATATTTTGAACCTCTGCATCGATCCCAAAGCACATCCTTTTCTTCTCACAGTCTTAACTATGGAGGTGTTTGCCTGGCTTCAGATGCCCAGTTCAGTGACTTCCTGGGGAGCATGGGGCCAGCGCAGTTTGTGGGCCGCCAGACCCTGGCTACCACACCCATGGGTAAGTGTTGGAAGCCCTGTGCCCCTCCTTCCTTTGCCCTCACCTGATGGCTTCAGGCTCTGAGCACCTGGCTTGGAGCCTGGACCATATAGTCTAGCCCTCTTCCATGCCTACCTCTGGAGTGTCCAAGCTGTAGTTATGGGACTTAGTCTGATCTTGTTTGGTCTGGGATGGGTTTAGAGGGACTGCAAGCACCTACTAGAGCTCCTAAGTCACTTTCTAGTGTCATGTCTTGCAGGAGATGTGGAGATCGGCTTGCAAGAGAGGAACGGCCAGCTGGAGGTGGACATCATCCAGGCTCGGGGACTGACTGCCAAGCCAGGCTCCAAGACACTGCCAGGTGTGGGAACATCTAAGAGATGTATCTGGTGTGGTCCACTGGACCAACCTTCTTAGAGAGATACTTTTTGTTTATCATTATACCCTGGCACCTAGTGTATACTCTACACCCCTTGGGACTCAGAAAGCATTTGTGGGAGAGGCTGGCAAATGAAAGTGTAAGGATGGCATGGTGGGCAAGTTGTGGACTGATGGGAGAAACAAATAAGCAGAGGAAAGAGGAGGCAATGAGGACCACTAGAGGAAAGCAGGCCCACCCAGACACGGCCTCAGGTGCTGCCCACCCAGGTGGAATCTCAGATAATACCCATCCTCGTGTGGTTACACACACTGCCCACTCTGCACCCATTTGCCCTGTGGCCCTTACCCATACTCCTGGGGGTTCTCCGATCCCCAGAAGTAGGTGGTTGACCTCTCTCTGTTGCATTTATTACCCACAATTTGGGGGAGCATCCTGAACCCTGCCTTCTGCCCTCTGTCCCCAGCTGCCTATATCAAGGCCTATCTGCTGGAGAATGGTGTCTGCATTGCCAAGAAGAAGACCAAAGTGGCCCGCAAGTCACTGGACCCGCTGTACAACCAGGTGCTGCTGTTTCCTGAGAGTCCACAGGGCAAAGTCCTGCAGGTAAGGGGGTCCTCTGTGTGTGTGTATGTGCTGAAGCAGGGTCTCTCAAGTGTCTTGCCCAGGGGAGTTGAAGCACTGAGTCTGACTTGCACCCACAGCTTCCTGTGTCACTGTGAATTTTGTCCCTCATGAGTCTTGGCTATTTCATCCCCGGAGCACATGGAGGAAGGAATAAACTAACTCCAAAATTTGTCCTCTGACCTTGTGAATGACATTTCATGAACACTCCATGCATGAATAATGCACACACAAACTAAAAACAACAAAATATGTATATGTCACACACACACACACACCTCTGCACACATACCACACATAAAATAAAAGCAAGTTTTCTAAAAAGATTAAAAAACAAAACCCAGGCAGACAGTGAGTGACAGTCCTGACTGAGGACTATCCTTTAAGCCTGTTCTCAACCTTCCTAACACTGCAACCCTTTAATACAGTTCCCCATGTGGTGGTGACCCCCCAGCCATAAACTTATTTTGCTGCTCCTTCATAACTGTAATTTTACTACTCATGAATCATTGTGTAAATGCCTGATATGTAGGGTAACTGATATGTGCCCTGTGAAAGGGCCATTCAACGCTCAAGGTGGTCGCGCCCCTCAGGTTGAGAACCACCACTCTAGGCCTTGTTGAGCATGGCTGAGTTAGTCCACCTTCATGGAGGGGGACAGAACTAAAAGATGAGGTACAGGACAGAAGATGAGGGTCCTGCAGCCACAGACCCAGACCCACAGGCCAACTCTGAGATGGCGTTGATCAAGAGACCAGGAAGGTTCCACAGAGGAAAATTAGTTGGACAAGAAAGGAAGCTGACAGTGACTCAATGTCCCCTTTGTGACGATGCTTCCTGTGGGGTCTGAGGCTCCCTGTGGGGAAAGCATGGAGAGGGACCATGTTGCAGATGTAGGGCCATCCTTCAAGGCCTTTGTTCAAAGTGGGGCCGTGTGGAGGATGGGGCAGAGAGGGCGACCGCATGATTGGGACACTAGAGCCAAATGTGGTCAGATGAATGACTTGTCACTTTATTTGGAGCTGGGGGTACACATGCCACAGAATGCATGTGGAGGTCAAATGACAACTCATGGAAGTCCACCCCCCACCACTCTCCCCTCCCTCTCTCCCCTCTATGTGGGCTCTGACACTGAACTTAGGTCATCAAGCTTGGCAACAGGCATCTTTGCCTGCTGAGCTATCTTGCTGGGCCCCCTTGCATGGTTTTTAAAGAGGTAGACTCCACAGGGCTTAGCTGCATTGGCCTGAGGGACCCTAGGTTCTGGTCTGACTGACAGGCATGGTTTTTTTTTTTTTTTTTTTTTTTTTTCTTAACTTTTATTGTGTGGGTGTTTTGCCAGCCCATATGTTCGTGTACGGGTTGTGATCTTGGTGCCTGTGCAGTGTTGGGAATCAAACCCAGGGCCTTGTGCATGCTGGGCAAGCACTCTACCAGCTGAACAAAGTACCAAGCTCTCAGTTGCAAGATGGAATCAGTTATGTTTCTCTTGTCCTGCAGGTGATTGTGTGGGGAAACTATGGGCGGATGGAGCGGAAGCAGTTCATGGGTGTGGCCCGAGTGCTGCTGGAGGAACTGGACTTGACCACCCTGGCTGTGGGCTGGTACAAGCTCTTCCCCACCTCCTCCATGGTGGACCCGGCCACAGGTCCTCTGCTCCGTCAGGCATCCCAGCTGTCCCTTGAGAGCACCGTGGGGCCCTGTGGCGAGAGATCTTAATGCCAGGGATGGGGAGGGGCTCCCCAAGATGGCCTGGAGACCACCCAGCCCTGACCTGGGACCCCAGGCCCAGGGGCACATTGGACACCGGAGGATGGGGTTCTTCCCCACAGTGGGGAAGCAGAATGGGGAGATCTGCTCCCTTGGGCCCCTCCTCACTCCTTCACCTCCTACCCCTGAGACCTTCCCTCTCCCAGTGGGTTGGCTACACTTTTGACTTGGCCGGTTTTGACCTGGTGGATGCGGCTACAGTCAGAAAAAGACAGAGGCGGCAGAGCAAACTACTCTCCTGCCCCACCCACCCCACCCCCTGCCACCCCCCTTTTGCTTCCTTGGAAGCTCGCTGCCCAGAGCCAAGTCCAGAATCAAGCCGGCCATCTCCATGGTGCCAATTACCAGCAAGTGTCTTTCCTGCGGCACCGGGTTCAGGCAGCTACTCTTGCCCCAGAGCTGATGGGGCAGTTTGCAAGGATCCGGAGCCAGCTCCCGGGGGCCCAGAGCTCCCCACTTGAAGGGGAGTGTGGGTCTCCCTCTGCCTGCCCGTGGAAGGAGCTTTGCCGCAGCCTGTCTGAGTCCATCCATCCATCCCCTCCTTCCTGCCCCTCGGCTGCAAGCTCTAGGAATTGGGGGCCAGCAGAGATGAAGGGAGAGGAGGGGGTGCCTGAGGCCTGGCACGGATTCCCCAGGAATCCTTGCTCCATGGGATTGTAACATGCTGCTCTGGAGCTCTTGGTGGACTGGAAAGGACAGTGGCATCTGTGATATGGTGGAGGACTGCGGGGACCTGAGTTTCTGGAACCCTGCACACAGGCTTTTCTCCTGTGTAGGGGTAGTGGGAGCCCAGCTTTGAAGAAAGCTGGGATTAAGTCGAGTGACGGCGAGGTAAGGGTTTCCCAAACAGGAGACCCCCAACTTGTTGGATGAGACCAAGGGTCATGTTGTTACCCCTCTGCCTCTGGTCTAGGGTCTTGGGGAGGCATTAGAGCCCCTCCCATTTTAGTCTTTTTAAATAACCCATCCTGTGCGAAGGGCAGAAGCCACTGCCCCAGCCTCATCCCCATGGCTCAAGGAGGTACAGAGGGAGGGTGGCCGAGCTATGAGTGTAAGATCCAGAGGCCTGGGCAGCTGCCTTCCTGTGGCCCTCCCTAGGGCCTGCAGGAGCCCTTTTGCATGCGAGGGAGGACACAGTCTGGCCCCTGTAGAAGCACATTTCTCTCTCTGTCCTGGGAGCCGACCAGCAGCCTGGGACCCCTCTTCACCTAGTCCCTGCTGTGTAGGGTAGTCCGGGTTAGCTGGGTAGTTAGTGTTCACGCCTGAGGCCTGTTCTTAGCTCAGATGTAGTCTTTTTTTTCAAGCCCCAGGCTGGGGGTAGAGGGGGGACCCCAGTACATTCCAGAAGATCGCAGCCTCTCTCTAGCCTGGGCTGGGTGGGCTGCCTGGCTCCCCAAAGGCCAGCTCTTTTACCTTCTCCTCCGTCCCTTCCTCTCTCCTCCCTTATAGAGTTGTAGCTCTAACTGCCCCCTTATACTCAGCATTCTGGGGAAATGCCCTTGGCATTGATTTGCTTCAGGATGCACTCCTGACGATTGCTGGGCCTGGGCTCCATTAGAGGGGCCTGGGCTCCATTAGAGGGTGTCATTTTCCACTGAGGGTGTCAAGGTTTTGTTGAACCCCACCTTGTTCCTGGTTCTTTTTCTTCCAGGGATTTCTCCCACTTGGGAATTCTCCCCATCCCCAGCCTGGCTAAGCTATGAGTGCCCTTTAGGGCTCCGATCCATCCTGTCATCTTCACAGGGAGCTGTTGACGCTGCACAGGAAAGGGGCTGCACACAGGCCCCTCTCCTCAAATTGGTCTTCAGAGTGTGGAGGGGCGGGCCCTGAGGACAAGGGCTCTGTTTGGGGTCCCACTTGAGGCCCACAGTTAGCCATCACCCCATTTATTTCCAACCAGTGTGATATCTCTTCAGTTAGGCTATTACTCACCGCGTAGAATATTTTGAGCCAGGAGAGCATCTTCTCTCCCCAGCTGTCACCGCTGTCGTTGTTCAGGGTGGGACAGAGCCTGGCTATCACAACCAGAGGAGGAGAGGCTCAGCTCTGATTTGTCTGAGAGAGAGAGCGAGAGAGAGCGAGAGCGAGAAAGAGAGAGCAAGAGAGAGATAGAGAGATAGAGAGAGAGAGATAGAGAGATAGAGAGAGAGAGCGAGAGAGAGAGAGAGAGAGAGGGAGAGAGAGAGAGAGAGAGACAGGGGGGAATGCAGGAGCACTGACTCCAAAGCAATAACACCCTAGGGTGGTCCTGAGGCCCCCTCAGTGATTTTCTTGTTCGTTCTGTGAAATCCCACTCGCCTCCTGGAGGGGTGGAGCAGGGGGCTGGGGCCCCATTTCTTTGTATCACTGTAAGCGTGTGCCCCACTTTCCAGGGGCTGTGACCACTCGTGTGGGAACCCTATCTGTCCTCACCAAGGACTGGACAGGGCTTGGGGAGGGGAAGTGATTTCCATCATTAGCTCTGGGGATTATCAAGCCCAGCCTGTCCCCACCGCTGTCTGACCCTCTGTCAATCAAACTCTACCATCTGGAGAGGAGTAAGAGGGCGGAGCTGGGGGCGCCTTTCTGGTGCTGGGTCTTTAGGGGCGTTTCTTTTTTCCTCTGGACAGAGGCCATGTATAGGGTAGGGCCATCTCCATTTTCCTTTCCCAGAATGCCTCTGCATTCTGAAGGGCAGGGCCTGGGGATCCTTCAGTCCATTTGCATTTTGCAAAAAAAAAGATACCAAGTCCCTGCCTGAGGAGAGCCCTCCCGAGGCCATTGGTATGCCCAGGGGCATTGCTACCTAGATCTCCTCTTCATTCACATGTCATGCTGAGCTGGGGCCAGGACAGGAGGAAGGGGACTGCCTAGTCTCATCCTTTCTACTCCTTTTCTTTGGAGCCTCCTAGTGGCTCCAAATTATGGCAGGACAAGCTGTAGCCAATCTGAGAGGTTAGGAAACCCAGGCCCCAGCAGGCCCCAGCAGGCCCCAGCAGGAAGTCATTTGGTTAAGGCCTCTCAACAAAATGCATTGGGGGTGGGGGTGGCAGAGCCTGGAGCTGTAGACTGGCACTCAGAGGCCACCACCATCACTTCCAGCTTCTAGCACAGGCGACACCACCCTGCTTGACTCTCTGTCTCTCTCTCTCCTGGGCCAGTGCCTTTTCTAGGCGTGAGTTGGGAGAAGAGGAGGCACTAGGGTGTCCAGGATCTCCTGAGCGATCTCTCTGGTGATCAGGAGCTGAAGGATTTGCTATAGGCCTTTTGTTCTGGGTCCTAACCTGTCCAGATCCAGCTGAGAGTGGGTGGAAAACACTCACCCACCTACAAAGTTTCTAGAGTAGGGGCTCCAGGAAGTCCTCACTCGCCCTCAGAAGGGATAGCCCCGCTTCCCATAGTGCTCCCCACAGTGTGTCCCCAGTGATTTTACTCTTGACCCCCACAAGAGCTCCAAATAGCAAGTCAAGGGAGGTTTATATTGTCAGCCCCGTTTTCAGGAGGGAGAGCTTGATGTCCCGAGAGAGATGCTTGCCCAACTGCCAGCTTTGACAGTGGCTGAGCTCCAGCTCATTCCCCAGGGTACACAGCACAGGCATGCAAGCACACAAGCACACAGGTGAGTGACTCACCGCTGGACTCCTTCAGGCAGGAGATTCCGGAGCACTTTAGGGTTCAGAAAAGGCACAGCGCCCCACACTTGCCCAAGGCAGAGCTGTTGCACCAGGCAAGGTCACCTGCATTTCTTTATTGAGCAACAGCGCTATACCAGGCCCAGAGCTTTGGGCCCCCTTCCTGTCCCTTGCAATGGCTCTCTTGGCCCTCCAGGAGGGCCTGTGTCTGTAGAACAGGGCCTTGGTGGATGGAGCCTTTCCACAAGCTTACCTGACAAACCTCAAGGGTTTTCATCTCAGCAAAAGAGCCTGTATGGGAATGGAAGAGGCCAGAAGCAGACACACGTGTCACCTCTGAGCCCTTTGTGTCCCCCAGCAAGGTGGCAGGAAGGTGGGACTCCAGCATCCTGGGCTGGGCGTCTCCCTCCATCTCCTGTGTCCTCTTGGGGAGCAGGAACAGCCTGGCCCTTCAGGGAGGGAGGGAGGGCTTCGGGGGTTCTCTGAGTCGGAGTGGGTCACATCGCATCGTGTTCATGACCACATAGCTCATGTTGGAAATTAAAGTTTTTGGCTTTTCTACCCTGGCTTTGCTCTTGTTTTGCGTCGAGACAATTCTGCGTGGGAAGATAAGGGGCACGTGTTTTCAGGGGTGAGTGCTCTGGGATGCCAAGGTGCCTTGCCGTGGGATTGTTAACACCCTCTCTGGGCAGAAGCTAACATCTGGAAGCTCTGCCACAGGTGCCCATGTGAAGCGGGGCCTGCAAATGAGCTCTGGTTTACTGGTGGGTAAAGGAAAGTGATGTGAAATCCCAATGACACGTTGCTGGTGATTGGTGGGACCCAGAATGAAATCTGTCCCACACCACTGAGCTGCCTATCAGTAGTGATAAGGGGGAAGGCCAGCCTGTTGATCCAAAGGGGGCTAGCCAGGGACAAGGCTGTGCTTGACAATGGAGGCAACCATTTTCACACAGGCTAATGTCACCCTTCATGCAGAGCAAAGGGAGTGCCATCTATATACTGCAGAAATTGCCCACTGTGAGCCATAAACTGCCTTCAGTCTGTCTCTAGCTCATACTTCTAGCATGAGCATCCAGTCTCACGAGGAAATTCTAGTGTTTAAAATTATGCCTTTCCCCTTATGTCCTTTTCAGAGCAGAAGCTAGCCACTTGTCATCCTTTGAAGGGGTGACCTGGTGTCACCCCTCCTAGGGGCTGAAGACCACATTTTCCTACAAGTTTAGACTAAACAGTTTACACCTCCAGGGTGACTTTAGAGTCGGCTTGTGCTTTTAGTGAAGCAGTCACGTATTTCTAGAAGGGACGATCCACAGATGGTAACGGGAGACTCAACTTCCTCCAAGCCAGAGGAAGGGTGGGTTTGCTAACAGACGGGACTAGACATTAGCCAGGCCTGACCAGGGTAGGATTGTCAGATGGACTTCCTCCGCGTTCGGCGTCTGTCTGGGCTGCTGTGACAGTAGGGCAGGGCCTCTGGACTCAAGGGAGGCGAGAAGGCTGGGTTGTCACGTGCCCAGGTCTCCAGCTGACTGATGCGAAGAGAGATGCAGGTGGAGGCCGCCCGGCTGATTCGGCTCTCGAGCGCCCCCTTGCGAAATGCGCTGGCGCGGCGGGCTGAGCGCTCAGGGGCGTCAGCGCTAGCCAGGAAGCGCAGGACCACCAGGTTGAGGAAGGCGCCGATGACGGTGAGCCCAAGAAGGATGTAGAGGAAGCTGAAGGCCACATAGGGTGGCTTCCTCTGCAGCGCCTCGTCTCTCTGCAGCGCCACGAAGTCTCCGAAGCCGATAGTGGTGAGGGTAATGAAACAGTAGTAGTAGGCGTGGAAGAAGGTCCAGCCCTCGAAGTGAGCAAAGGCAGCAGCGCCCAGGGCCAGAGTGGCTGCGCATAGCAGCAGCCCTGCCACCACCATGTTCTCTGCAGACACGTGCGGCCGCTGCAGACCCAGGCAGCGCTTGGCCGCCAGCAGCAGACACCTCACCAGTGCGTTTAGACGCTCCCCCAGGCTCTGGAAGGTGACCAGCGTTAGGGGGATGCCCAGGAGTGCATAGAACATGCAGAAGACCTTACCGGAGTCCGTGCCTGGCGCAGCATGGCCATACCCTGTGTGGAAAGAGGGATGAGGTACTGAGAGCCCAGCCTAACCCAAGGCGCTTCCACCCCAGGCCTGCCTGTCCCCAACAGCTCCAACCAAGCCCTACTTAGGTCATCCCCGCGCTCTGAACCTCTGTGTCCCCCTAACCCCAGCAGGTGAATAATCGACCTGTGGTCCTTCAGAACCACAGAATTCTGTTGGGGCATATTCTGTTGTCAGCAGTAGCAAAGGATGGAGGAAGCCCAGAGCCGAAGCATGAACCCAGTTGATAGGATGCTCTGGAGAGGCAAAACAGCTCCACGGCTGGCAGCTCTAGGGGTTGAAGGACTACACAAGGGCGTAAAGAGTTTGGGAACTGCAGGAGGGGTTCTGTGGCTTGGTTGGCACATATTTGATAGGTGCTCTGATAACCAATGGTGTATAGAAAATGTGAATTATAGCAAATTATGCTTGGTTGGAAGGTACAGGAGATATCTTCTATGGCTTCCTAGTACCTACAGAGTAAAGTCCCAGCTCTCACAAGGAAGCCCCAGCTCCCTCCACTTCCAAGCCTCACCCCTCCACTCACCTCCTTCCTCTCCAGCCTCATCCCTCTCTGCTCACCATCCCCACTCTCCAGACTCACCCCTCCTCTCATCTTCCCTCTCCCCAGCATCAACCCTCTCTTACCTGCCCACTCCCCAGATGCATCCCTCCTCTGTCCTCTCCACTCCCAGCCTCACCCCTCCTCTCCACTCCCAGCCTCACCCCTCCTCTCCATTCCCCAGCCTCACCCCTCCTCTCCATTCCCCAGCCTCACCCCTCCTCTCCATTCCCCAGCCTCACCCCTCCTCTCCACTCCCAGCCTCACCCCTCCTCTCCATTCCCAGCCTCACCCCTCCTCTCCATTCCCAGCCTCACCCCTCCTCTCCATTCCCAGCCTCACCCCTCCTCTCCATTCCCAGCCTCACCCCTCCTCTCCATTCCCCAGCCTCACCCCTCCTCTCCATTCCCCAGCCTCGCCCCTCCTCTCCATTCCCCAGCCTCACCCCTCCTCTCCACTCCCCAGCCTCACCCCTCCTCTCCACTCCCAGCCTCACCCCTCCTCTCCACTCCCAGCCTCGCCCCTCCTCTCCACTCCCAGCCTCGCCCCTCCTCTCCACTCCCAGCCTCATCCCTCCTCTCCATTCCCCAGCCTCACCCCTCCTCTCCACTCCCAGCCTCACCCCCTCCTCTCCATTCCCCAGCCTCACCCCTCCTCTCCACTCCCCAGCCTCACCCCTCCTCTCCATTCCCCCAGCCTCGCCCCTCCTCTCCATTCCCCAGCCTCACCCCTCCTCTCCATTCCCCCAGCCTCACCCCCTCCTCTCCACTCCCAGCCTCACCCCTCCTCTCCACTCCCAGCCTCACCCCCTCCTCTCCACTCCCAGCCTCGCCCCTCCTCTCCACTCCCAGCCTCACCCCTCCTCTCCATTCCCCAGCCTCACCCCCTCCACTCCCAGCCTCGCCCCCTCCTCTCCACTCCCAGCCTCGCCCCTCCTCTCCATTCCCCAGCCTCGCCCCTCCTCTCCATTCCCCAGCCTCACCCCTCCTCTCCATTCCCCAGCCTCACCCCTCCTCTCCACTCCCAGCCTCACCTCTCCTCTCCACTCCCAGCCTCACCCCTCCTCTCCACTCCCCAGCCTCACCCCTCCTCTCCATTCCCCAGCCTCGCCCCTCCTCTCCACTCCCCAGCCTCACCCCCTCCTCTCCATTCCCCAGCCTCACCCCTCCTCTCCACTCCCAGCCTCGCCCCTCCTCTCAAATCCCTAGTCTCCACACTCTCATCCTGTTCTTTTCCTACTAGAACGTCATTTCTACGCTTCTTTCTTGTTTTCCCTCACACCCCCCTTGGGCTGCCTTTTCTCCCCTTCCCAGCCCCTTGCTCCCTTCAAATCCCTCCTCATCTTCTGCCACTCTGTTGGCCTTCACTAAGCACCAACTGATTCTGGGAAACTCTGGTTCAAGCACTGTTCACTGGCATACTAATGGTATCTAAGCATATGTGGGCTTCCTTGAGTCACAGCTCACTGTGCCATTGTTGTGGAGTGTGTGGATGTGTCTCTTTCTGGGGAGAGCAGCAATAGCTTACAATGGCTTATAACCAGGGAGAAGTGTGGGGGGGGGGTCCATCTCCCAAAGAGAATATGTCTCCTTCAGCAGACTGACTCTGTCTGTAAAGGTAAAGTACAGACCCCTAGACCTGTGTGGTTTTACACAGTTACCCGTCCAGTATACAAATATGCAAATGGTACGCACAGATAGGCTGCCACTATAGTTATAGCAAAGGTTAGAACCCGGCACACATCTATCCATACAGGCCTGGTTAGGTCTGTCTCAGCAACGTAGAATACTACACCAAACCTCCGTGCCCATATCACCATGCAGACATCTGGCAAGACCTAAGGAAGCTCTTGGTTGTCTCTACTAGGGGACAGGAATGGGGTAGCGTGTTGCTGGCATCCAGAGGTAGAGGATGAGAATACTACCAACATTTTACAGGGCACAGGACAGGCCTCAAAACAGAGCTAACCAGGACAAGGTGTTAGGACTTCCAAGGCTGAGAAGCCCTGCTATTCAGCCTGAAAAAATTGCGGGACTCTTTAGGATTAATATTTTTTTTAAAAAAATATGATGTTCTAAATCAGGGTCTGGGATATATCTCAGTTGACAGAGTGCTTGACATGATGTCCCGGGTTCAATTCCTAGTACCACATAAAAGACAAGCATGGTGTCACACACCTGTAAATCCCAGCACTTGGGAGACTGAATCTGGAAGACCAGACATTCTGTCATTAACAGCTACATAGCAATTCTGAAGGCAGTCAGGACTACATGAGGCCCTGTCTCAAAAACACAAAGGGTGTCCTAAATGAAAAGAGCAGGAATAGGCAGAATAGTATATATAATGTGTCAGCCATACAGTGTGTGTGGTTCTTGAAGGAACTTATACACAGAGCATGTAGCTAGAAGTATGGGAGAGACAGGAAAGATGTACGTGAACCAGGAAGAATGAATGGGTTAAGAGACAGGATAGTGACTCAGAAAGACAAAGATGGCGTGTTTCCTCTTTCACTCAGAATCTAGATAAAAAACAAAACAAAACAAAAAAAACAAACAAACAAACAAAAAAAAACATGAAGAGGTCCAAAGGAAGAGAACAAGAGAAAGTAGTTAGTGCCTGACGTATGTGTGTGAAAATGTCACAGTGAAGCCCATTGTTCTGTACAATTAATATACACTAATAGAAAAGACCAAAGGCTTCCAGGGAAAGGGGGCAGGAATGGCTTTCTTTTTCATTCTGCACCCCCTGGTACCCTGTGAAATGTGCAGTGTGAACATGTATAGTATTCAAAGTCTCGATGTAACATAAGCATTTAAAGCTCCTCGGTTGGTTGCCCTTCCAGTGCGTGGCCCTGTGGGTCTGCCTCCCAGGCATACACTGCCCATCACTGCCTTGAATTCTCGAGGACAGGAACCGTGGTAGCCAGCTCTGTACTCCCTGAATCACCTATGCTCTGCACAGACACAGACAATAGGTTCAAAGAAAGTTAACTGGCTCAAACAAATGGGAGGAGAGGGAAGCTAGAGGGCGACAGAGCCCTCCTTCGGACTAGTAGACCAGGAAATCTGCTTGCGTTCTGCCAGGTTTGAGCAGAGGGAAATGAGTGATAATAGCAACATTGTAGATTGGCTCATTAGGCCAGGGATTAACACTGTTAACCCTGTTTTGTGATAAAGGAAGCAGCTCGAGTTAGGGAGCTGTGCATAGGTCCCAGAGCCTAAGCCCCAGATCCTCCATGCTTCTTGGTGCCTTTCTTCTGCTAAGAACTGCATTTCTGGACTCCAGGGCCTGGCTTCCTGCAAGGCTTCTTTTAAAAAAAAAAAAAAAAAAAAAAAAAAAAAAAAAAGTACAATAAAGCAGGTGGTAGCGCCCCCAAGTGGCCAGAAAAGACAAAACATTTCCCATTTCTATACCATTTTTTGTTGTTTTTGTTGGGTTTTTTGGGTGGTGGTGATTCCCCGCCCCCCCCCCATTTCTTTCCCTAGCTTTTGTTTCAGATTAGCGAGGAGGGAGATCAAATATGGCTGATAGCCCTTCAGTAAAAACGGGACAGGGCAGAGGGCAGAGGTTTCAGATGAGCCACAACTTCTGTAGGTGCCGCAAACAGGCGCATCTTGAGAATGGGGCTTGCAGACAAGAGAGGGCAGAAACATTGAATGGGAGCTGGGTGTACAGCTGGCAAATAATAAATTATTACTAATAAATAGTGCCTGCATAGCCTGTGGCACCATGCTGGGCTGTTCACACAACCTGACCTCACCTTAAACCTGGTTCTACCCAGCAAGGTAGAACATTTGCTTTTTGCCTTTGACAAAAACTTGTGTCGAGGAGGCACAGTAGCCTGCCTGAGAAGGCAGGTGGCTGGAGGTGCTCAGCCTTTAGGGTTGCAGGTTTGCTCAAACCCACGGCTCCTGTGCAAGTGCATTCTCCCAGATGCAGGCTTCTGGTTTGCTCCTCTGAGGCCACGGAGACACCTGGCAACTACAGCTGGCCCCTGGTGCTAAGTGTCTAGATCGTTGGTCAGAGCCTTGGAGAGCCTGTTTCTCTCCTAACAGGTTCCCCAGGTTTAGCCCCTAAGGTCCTGGCCAGGTGTGGTTATGGCAACAGCTGGAGTCCAAATGGTATGTATACATATATAGGGGTTCCTCTGGATGCCCAGTGTGAGTCAAAGCTTTGTCAATCAGTCATCCCCTTAACAAGTGATAGGTTTCCTAGTAGGCTCTAGGACACCAGCCAGGCAGCAGTCACAGGCAAATGGCAGCTCTGTTATATGGGGCTAACAGAATAATTGTTATAACAATAAAAAGACAATCTTATTTCCACAGTGTTTTCTGTGGGTCAGGCCCTACGCTAAAATGATCCACACACATAATAATCTCCACCACATCCGTCATTGCTCCCTCTCCCTTGAAAGACATGTTAGGCCTCCTAGATTTCAGAGAAGAACACTGTGGCTCAGGAAAGTCAAGAAACTTGTCTAAGGCTATACAGCTGACAGAATGGGACAAGGAAGCCCCACTTCTGTTCCCCCAAGAACCTGGGGTTTCTTCTAACCACCCCTATGTTAGCCTCGTGGCAAACGTTTACTGACATTCTGCCCAGTGAGGCAAAGGAGCCTCAGAGAGCTAACATGCCCCTTCCAAAGACAGGGACCGGGTGAGACCACACCGCGGCGGAGATCGAAACTGTGAGGGGCAGAGGGGAGGCTCCTCTGAGGGCTCACCGATGGTGGTGATGACAGTGATGGCGAAGTAGAAGGAGCCTGCAAAGCACCACTGGCGGCCGGCACGGTGCGGCTCAGCCTGCAGCGCCAAGCGCTCCAGCTCCCGGTAGTCGTCGGCAGAGAAGCCGTACTTTCTGCGGAACTCGCCGCGCTTCCGGGCCAGCAGCCGCTGCCGGTTGCGCTCGGCCTCGGACTCCAGCGCATCAAAGACCGCGGCACCCACCAGCAGGTAGGACAGGATGCACAGGATGAGCGCCGCCGTGCGCGCGCTCTGCTTCCTCATCGCGTCTCGAGGGCTCTGAGTCGCGGTGTCCGTGCACCCCGACGGTGCCAGGTCCATCCCTGGGCGTCCAGCGTCCAGCGGAGGGCAGATTCTGAGCTCTCCCGCGGCTTCCTCGCCCTAGCTCAGACAGGTCCCTTCAGGGACATCTGGTGCAGAGGCCCGGCCCAGGTGCGCAGAGGGCCCGCCTCCATCCCGAGCTTGCCCCAGGATTTAGGGCTAGTCACTTTTTCCTTTCTCCCGTCTGTCATCGTCTAGGAAATGTTTATCAAGCGCCCTCTAGTGCCCACCATTCTCGGCGAGAATAGAACAGGTATGCCAGCAAACAGGGAGGGACGATAAATGAGCAAAAAGATAAGGTAAGACAGGTGTGGAAAAGGAGAAAAATAGCGCTTGGAGAGGCATATGCCAAACCATCCAGGAGTGGCCAGGGAGACAAAATTCATGCCACAAGTGTAGGTTCCTTGCCAAAGCAGAAGGGAGGTGACTTGGTAGCAGGAGACAGGAGAGAGCATCAGTGAAGCTGGTGTGGCTGCAGCCGAGAAAATTAGGGTGCAAGCTGGAGAGACAGAGACAGGAGGAGCAGAGAGGCGACTTCTATAAATGCATTTTAATGTAAGTAATGCATTTTAATGTAAGTTTTATTTTATATTTGCCTGCATGTATACCTTGTACCACTTGCATATTCATGGAAGCCTGAAGAAGGTGCAGGTTCCCCTGGAACCTACACAGTTAGTGTCCAGTTGTGGGCCACCATGTAGGTGCTGGGAATTGAACCCTGGTCCTCTGGAAGAGCAGACGGTGCTCTTAACCACTAAGCCACCTTTCCAAGCCCCAGGCTGAGTCTTCAGGATGATTGAAACCTTTGGAAAAGTTGTAAGCATAAATACACACAGTTCTACCATAATCTATTTGGTGTTGTCTGTCTGTCTGTTTGTTTGTTTTTTAAAAAGGCATCAGAGCCAGGCTGTCCACACTTGTAATCAGAGCACTTGTGAGGTGGAGGTAGTCGATCAGGAATCCGAGTCCTGACTGGGATACTTGGCACCATGTCTCAGGATCATCACACCTCAGAGAAATCGAGGAGCTGCTATGTGGAAAGAAAAGGCGGCAGAGAGTGAAGACTACTCAAGAGGATGGTGTCACCCAGATACATGGGGGGGTTAGCCTAGGGTAACAGATGAAAAGAAGCAGATGGCCCTGGACTCCATCGGAGAGCTGGGCACACAGCAAGCCCTGTTGCTTAAGCTCCCTGGTATCAAGACACTTCACCAGTCCAAGTTTTAGCAAGTGAATCCTTTCAGAAGTGACACATGCTACTTCCCGGCCTGAGCTCTAAGGCTCTGTCCTCCATGCTACCGGAACCCCCCCCACACACACACACACCTGCAAGCTGAACGTGGCACCCAAACAGCATAGGAAATCTGTGCGCCCTCAGAACCACCCATTTTGAAATTCTGATGCATTATGTCAGGGTCTCATGGGGGGGGTCCATCTGTCACAGAAGCTGATATACACCGAGGACAAGAGTCACTGGTGGATTTTGATGTGGAGGTAAAAGGAAGGACTCAGGATGGCCCCAGGGTATTTCCTGAACAGCTAGGTGTTGATCTCACTTCTTAAGGAATATACTTCTGTCTCCAAGCAGCAAGATGGAGCCCTGCCTGTGGGCCTGCATGGAGACTTCTGCAGCACCAGTTACCCTCACCTGAATCTGTTGGGGACAGCGGGCCCTCCCAGGTGTCTGCTGCAGCACAGTATGCATGGCTATGAGCATGACTACTCAGGCCTATCTCCCCATAGCCTCCCACCCCTGCTTGCTTCAGCCACCCTCACCTTTCAATTCTTCCTCGCCTCGGTACAGTCTTTCCCCATCCCACTCAGCCAACATCAATTGCCTCCCTGCCAGGGGCCAGGTAGCAGCAGAAGCGCCATACAGGTATTGATGCGCTTAATCACCCCAACTCAGCTGGCTCACTCTGCCATTCTAAGGGGTTTCTTAACTCCTCCCTGAGTCCCCACAGGCCTCTGAGTGCCCACCATCCTCCATTCCACCTACTACAGCATAACCATTGCATTTCACATATGTGGTGCCCTTAAGGATCAGCCTGTGGTCTCCAGCACTCAGACCTGCTTGGCAGCACATACTCAGGGGCAGTTTGAGGTCAAATGAGAACTTTCATGTGCAAGTTGGGAACAGCTCGCCTGCATTGCTTCGGGAACTTCACCATCAGTAGAATGCTGGCTTTGTTTGCTTGCTTGTTTTTAATTATCAAGACAGCTTCTAAATATAATAGCTCTGGCTGTCCTGGAACTCATTTTGTAGACCAGGCTGGTATCGAACCCAGAGAGATCCTGTCTCTGCTTCCCAAGTGCTGGGATTAAAGGCCTGGGTCACTACCACTGGATTAGAATGATTTTTTCCCCTGTCTCACAAGGAACTGCAGTAGTATAAGAATGGTCCTGAAAGATGTCCAGGCCTCATCCTTGGGGTCTGTGAATACATTTAGCTGCCTGGCACATGCTGAAGATGCTGATGGCAGAGGTTGCTGATCAGCTTGCCTCAACGTGGGGGATGATCTCAACCTCTGGGAGGGTCCAGCATCACCACAAGGGTCCCCATACTTGGAGATAAAGGCAGGAGAGACACCCAGAGAGATGGCGGCATGAGCAGCTCCTCAGGCTGATCACTGAAGGAGGGGGCCCAAGATGAGGCACAGTGGGTGACATACAGGAACTGGAAGTTGGAAGAAGACGGGTCCCTGCTTTGTCTAGAGAAAGGAAGGAATGTGGACACACAGGCACCTTTATTTTAGCTCATGGAGGTCCATGTTGAGAGAACCAGAAAGTTCTTCTTTTGAGGGGTGAGAGTGGATATGGATGTTTAAATACATATGTGGGAGCCGTATTCGTGCACATATATGTGCATGTGTAGAGCCCAGACATTAGCTTTGAATGGTACCCCTCAGGAGCTACCCACCTTCTTATTTTCTTGGAACAAGATCTCTTATTACGATTTGGGACTCTCCAATCCAGACAACTGGCTAGCCAGCCTGCCCCAAAGATCCTCTTGACTTGACCTCCTCAGCTGGGACTACAAGCATATGCCACCACACCTGACTTAAAAATGGATGCTGGGGCTTGAGATCAGGTTCTTGTGATTGTGAAACAAGCACTTTACTTCTCCCCTCAGCCCCAGAAGGTAATCTGAAGGGGAGTGAGGGGTGGAGATAACTTTCCATATTTGTGATGATTGACAGCTGCCATAGGGTAAATGGAGAAGCCTGGGGAGCAGCATCCGCTTGCCAACAGGATTTGCCTAGGAACATTTAGACATTGTGGCTGTCACAGTGAGTGGACCCTGGCCTGTAAGACCTCAGTTCTGGGGTGGAATTGGGGCCCAGTGTCTATAGATAAAGATTTGCATGCCCTCACCCCCAGAGAGTCAGGATAGCAGCCAAATGGCCCAGAAGTGGGTTGCTGACGCGGGCGAGCTAACACAGTTGCCGCAACTTATTTTTAGTAAGGGCATCAGCAAGTTTGTTTTTCTGATTCTTCTCTGCATTAGGGAAGCAGAAACCTGGGGCCTCAGGATGGGGGCAGGGCACCAGGCCCTTCTACTCAGGAAGGCCTAGAGCAAAGCTTGTAGAGACAAGCAGGCTTGGGGAACGGCTTGGTCTTGGGAGGCAGGGGAAGAGAGTTCACGAGGATGACCCTGAACTCAACTGAGGTCCACAAAGACTTGAGTTCAGATTCCCACTCCTTCACTTCCTGCTTGCATGTCCACAGATAGAACATGGCCACCTCTCTGTGCTTCGGTTTCCCTGTGTGAGGACCGACCGACAAACCAACACTCCCACAGAGGACAGAGGCTGTGGTACGCCGCTTCCCAGGTGCCCCTGAGCTGGTAGTCTTGTTTCCTCCCTTTTCAAAACTGCCTGTCTACAGACACCAGGAACTCTGTTTTTGGACACAAAGGATAGACTAGAGGCTCTGGAGCCCTGTGTGTGCTGGGCATTGCCACAGTGTCACCTCTACAGGTCAGGAAGGAGAAGGTGCCAACCTGCAGAGACCCTGTCTATGGTCATGCCTGAGACAGGATTTGAACATGGGGCTGCCTGAGTTGGAAGGGCACCATTCCTGTTAGGCAAGGCAGTGCCGGCCATGTCACTCTTCCATCGGCCCTGGGGACCTTGCTGTCTTCATCTGTGAGATGGCTGCAAGATCCTTGCTAGATGGAGCTGTCCCATCCCTACGAGGCTCCCGTGACACAGAGCTGAGGGAGTCTTGTCAGATGTACCCACTGGGGTGGGTATAATTGGGGCCATGGAGGCACTGTCTAGCCCTGCTAGGCAGGTGACTCCCTGTGCTTGGCATTTTTGGTTCAGCGGCTCTATTTTAAGCGGAGGTGGTTAGGGTTTGTGTGTGTGTGTTTCTCAGCTTGGAAAGTCATCAGCTGAGCAGGCACCAAAAACAGAGCTCCCTAAGGCGTTCCTTTCAGCTTCCCTCCTCCTGTCTCCCTCCTGCTCCCCCTGCTTGGGGACCTGAGGAGACCCAGTGATTTTCCTCGGCCCCTAGCATTATACCCATGGCCCTTCAGTGAGGCCTGGGGGCTTTTTAAAAGCTGACAGCCTTTGCCACTTCCATATTGGGGAGAGGAAGCTGAGGCCCAGAATAAGGAAGGGGTCTCATCGAAAGCCACACAAAATCAGGTGGTAAACAGAATGGAGTAGATGGTTATCTGAGACCTTGGATCCCATCTTAGGCATGTGACTTCCCCTCTCTGGGCCTCAGTTTGCCCATCTGTGCCTCAGCAGATGGATAGGGGTATTTGCCTGATGGGGTTCCTGTGAGGAGCAAATAAATGTGTTCAATTGGGGCCTCACCAGCAAATGGCAGCACCCCTCCACCCACAGCGCCTCCCTACCCCTTCGTGTTGTTCATTCTGAAGGGCTTTGTAAGAAACAGACTTTTACAGTTAGAGCAAAGTTCAGTGATTTTCCAGAAGGCCAGCAGGCTCAGTCATTTCTCTTGATAAGATCCCCATGTGTCCCTCTTAACAGAA